TTCGGAGACATGGGCCAAGAGCTGGTGTCGAAGTTCCCAGACGGTGAGCAGAGGAGCCTCGGGGTAGCTTGAAGATGGAGCTCGCTTGCGGAAGCTGTTGACGTCAGCCCCGAAGCTTTGCTACCGTGCCGCATCCAAGTAATCATCTCATGAACGTAAGACCTATTTTCAATCGAGACACGGGAGCCGCGAAATAGCCTGGGGCGAATTTGCTCATTTTTTTTTAACATTTCATTTGCACTAGCTCACATATTCCAGCATAGTTTGAATGTCTTCTGCGGAGCCTGATTTAGTGTAATTAGCAGATTTCCAGCGCATCGAATCTGAGCACAGAGACTAGACAATGCTCCAATGACCACCCCTCTTGCATCTCTTCCGAAGCATAGCACTAACGTCAGTGTCTTACCAGCAGCCTAGTTTTCACTATATGTTTTCAACACCACTTCGAGAGCCTCAAGACGCCAAGCGGGGATTAGGCAATTCCTCAAAAACATGATACTGAGAGAAAAGACGCCGGCCTCCCCAATAACCCCAGGCCACATCCTCTCCCTACTCACTCGCTTCAGAGCAGGCCAAAAAAAAAACAGGGTGGTAATGATGACGAATAAAAAACTAAAAAACTTTAGCATTACTGCTCTACAGCAGAAAACAACAACAACTACTACTACTTTACACCCTCGACCCCTCAGTAATACCAGCAGCAACAGCATCACCACCCTCATCTTCCTCCACCCCTTCTCCACCAGTCGCCTCACTAGCAATACTCTCATGTAAACTAGGCGTCTTATCCTTGTTCCTCCCAATCTTCTTGATACTCCCCCACATACTCCCACTCATTCGATCTTTTGGCGTATAACTGCCAATAGAAGGACTATTACCAGTACCAACGCTCTCTGTAGATTTGCCCAGCCCAAAGAATCCGCTGCTAGAAGTTTCTCCTCCTTCCACCTCGTCCGGAGTTGCAGGAACAATAACAGAGTCCCCAGCATTACTTCTCTTCGAAGAAAACTTTTTAACACCAAAAGACAAGAACTGGTTCGTACTCCCCTTTCGCGTCAACTTCTGCATGAAGCTCTCTTTGCCAATGGATCCAGCCGCGTCGGACGCAGTGTGGCTCACACGCCGCTCCAGACTCTCTCTTGGACTATTCGCTGCTGCCTCTGAAGCATCTGCTTCACTTGCATCAGCCGTAGAGATGATGCTCGGTGTATCGCGCGACATCCTCGAGTCATAACCGATTCCCGGAGACGTAGCGTCACCAGCTTCCGACGGCGTCGCACCATGTTTATCCTTGTTGCCCCCCTTTGCAGCAGCCTTCTCCGCCTTTTCCTTTTCCTTCTTCTCCGCCTTCTCCGCCTTCTCCGCCTTGCGCGCTTCCTTCTCCTTAGCCTTCTTCTCTCTCTCCTCCTCCGTCTTCTTACCCAGCTGGAACATTGTGAAGCTCGCCGCCGCAGGATTCAACTGCTTGGGCGGGGTTGGCGGAATCGGCGGCAGCGAACTTGTACTCGGTTGGGCAGGGAAGTGACTCGCGCTACTCTGCGGTCTTGTCCCAATCGGCGCCTGCGTTGGACTCCTAGTGTTGGAAGGAAAGTCGAGGACATCGTCGTGTGCAAAACCGTTGTCGTCGTTGATCAGATTCGCACTGCTCGTGTGCTGCATGCTAGGACGCCGAGAGCCGAGGCGAGACCACGAGGTGGTGTTTGTGTTGTTCACGCTCCAATCCACACCCAATGGACTACTCCTTGCTCCAAACGCATCCACATTCCAGCCGAACCGCGTCTGACTCTCTGTACTGGGTCTCGGCAACGCCATGCCTTCCCCAGAATTGGTGCTTCCCTGTCGCCCGGGCGATGAGGGACGTGGCTGCTGCATACCCAGTATGTTTCTCAACCAAGGATCTTCGTTCCCTCCTTTTGCGCTGCTAAACATGTTGAATGGGCGCTTGCGTGTTGCAACGTGCTTGGGCGAGCTGAGGGATTCGATTGGTTGCGTCTTGGTGCGTATAAAAGTGTCGTACCACGCTCCGCCTTCAGAGTGGGAGCCTCGGCGGCGGTGAATGTTACCCAGACCATCGACACCGTGTTCCTGCCGCGGTAAGCTCTGACTCTGACTCGGTTTCAGGCTCCCCAGCGCAGGACCGTCATCAGAAAATGTCTTGCCGCGCGCGCGATTTAGGCCGAAGAGACCGCCAAAACGAGAGGCTTGGGGGTTGTTGTTGATCTGGAAGGAGGAGGAGGTCGAGTGTATGGAACGACGGTCATTGTCGAGGTTATCGTCATTCTTGCTCATGTTGGGGTAGAACTGTAGTTCGCCCGCGCTATCCCGAGGACTGGCTAGAGCACTAGGCGACCCGCTCTGTGGTGAAGCTGGGGAGCTGCCATTCTGTGTCGTAGGATTCATTGTCCCCGGAGCTCCGAGGCCGGGCAGAACATTACGCATGTTGGGCGAAGGGTCTAGAGAGGGGGCTTGGGGTGGCCCTGGGTCATCGTCTTCATCTTCCGTGAGACCTAAATCGTCACCAAAGAGGCCAGCGGGGAGTAGCGCGCCAGCAGTCGGACTCATAGGTGCGCCGCCAGTTAGGGACTCGAAGTCGGTTTGTGAGAAAGAAGTACTATATGTACGAGGAGGCAATGCCATGCCGTTTACTGGGTTGAAATAAGGCGTTGGTGTTGCAAAGGACGGGGATGCGGTCGTTGGAATGCTGTTGAAGGGAGCTGACGAAGTGTGCACGAATCCGCCAGTAGCTTGGGAGAGAAGTCCTTCGCGCATGCTGAGAGGACGAGCACGTTGGCTGTTCCTTCTGACAGGACCCATCTCTGGGACAGGTGGGCCCGAGAAGAGCTGGGGCTGGCTCAGACGACGTTGTTGCATGTAAGTCAACCTGCTTGTAGCGTCTTGGTGAGCTCTTTCGGCTTCGGCGTATAGCGACCAAGCTTGAGCATATTGCTGTTGCAAGAGACCCAATGTCATCTTCCAGCGATTGTCCTCTTCCCTCTCGGCGTTGTCAGGACCGTCTGTAGCTTCGGCGCCTTCTTGGCCTTGTTCCAACCTATGCCTCTCTTCCTCTAGAGCCTTAATGTGGATACCCTTTTCGCGAATTGCGTCCTCGAGCACTTTGTTGGCCTGCGTCTCGTCGGCATACTTGTCTTTGAGGTCCTGGACGCGCTTCTCGGAGGCTGATTGGTACTCGGACTGTTCCTTCTTGATCTTCTCGGCAGTGTCGCGGAGTTCGCCCGCCTCCCTCGTCCACTTGGCAACATCGTCTTTAAGCTTCTTCCGCTCGGCTTCCTTTTGACGAAGAACCCTCTCTTGCTGGGTGCGTCTGGTCTGCGCAGCGGCGTTCTGACGCTCAAGACTGGCCACCTCTTTTCGCAAGTCACGACTGGCGTCTTCCTTTTCCTTCAACGCAGCCTTCTTCTCGTCGCGCTTGTCGGCTAGGATAGCCTTCTGGGTCACAAACTCCTGGTCCTCATCCTGGATCTGACGCTCCATGTCGTCCAATTCGCGCCTGAGTGCATCCAACTTCTCAGTCAACTGGCGAATAGAGTCTGGGCCTTCTGCCTCTTGCGCTTGCCTTCCCTCTTGCGATGCTGGCGAGACCCTCCTTCCGATATCCGGACGTCTCATGCGGGAGGTGCTGTTGCTGTGTTCGCGGGTCATGGGCGGGGCGGCGACGGAGGTGACGACCTCGGCCAGGGCCTTGTTCGGGCGGATGACGGGCGTAGGCGTGTAGTCATTGTCGTCGCTGGGGGTAGGCGCGTCTTTGGGCGGGTGGGGGCCGTAGAAGTCATCTGAGTCGGCGGGGAGGGTTCGTAGGCGGATGGGCACGCTGGGGGCTTGGAAGCTCGACGAGTTGAGAGTGACTATGCGGATGGTGTAGTGGCGGTCGGGCTGGAGGTTCTCGATGGTAATGGAGGATTCCTGGGGTGATATGTCGCCAATGTCAATGCCGTTGATTCGAATGACATATTTCAGGACAGAGGTGCGCTGGTCTGGCGGTTTCCAGTGGAGCAGCACTCCATCTGCCTTGATTCCAGCGAGCGAAACGAGGGGCGCGACGGGGACTTCGAGACCGAGCACCTGCACCAGCTTCTCGACTGGCTGGGTGAGGACCTGGTAGGCGCGGAAGGCAACCCAAAAGAGCGCCGACACGATGCACGCAGTCCTCAGCCAGCCCGACGACGAGAACAGGAGGGCTTCCATATCATAGCGAGCGACATCCGGCGGCCAGTACAGCGACGAAGACATGGCCTCCATCAGTGTGTGTGGGTAAAGTTTGCGGTATCCAAGCGGGCGTCATGTGCAGCCACGGCCGCAAATGGCCGAAGCTACAAGCCATTTCGACTTTCTTGGCTGCTCCACCCTGCACCTCCGCATTCACCTGCAGCTTGCTTCCTTAGCGGGGCAGTGGCTGTCAAACATGGAAGCTTACGCGTGTGGTCTAGAAAATATGCAATTCTAAAAAATATGCATCGCGATTGATAGGTGCTTCACATGTCTTTTACGCACTCCCCGCAGCACAAAGTGGTTGAGCCAGTAGCTGTCCCAACATATAAGCAGGCCTCGAATTTTCTCCAATCTGCTTGCTCCCTGGCAGCATGTGAAAGATAACGTCGCATCTGATGTCGATTCTGGAAATGCTTGCCGCTTACTCCGGCAACTCGCATCCCATGATCTCGGCCTGGCGTCCTTGGGCCCGTGATGCGCGCGGTGACAGCATACCCAAGCTTGCCCTTTGCCTAGGCACATCACCGCAAAAGTACTTTCACTCCTGATTCCCCTTGGTCTCGCACACAACGCCGGTTCCTTCCCTCGGTGAAAGCAGCCAGGGCCCACTGACATGTGAAGAAAGACAGCGAATTCCTGACACCACTTGATCTGTAAAACACTTCTGACGTACATTCCCGACGCTCACTACAAGACGCTCACTACAAACCATCTTCCGCGCCTATCCCCTCCCGCACCGCGCAAGAGGGCCGCTGAGCCCGTAGACAGCCACTATGAATTACGTGCGATCCATCACAGGCAGCGTGTCCAAGGGCTGGAACTCGATCAACCCCGCAACCCTCAGCGGCGCCATCGACACCATCGTCGTAGAGCACGAAGATGGCAGCCTAGCCTGTTCGCCCTTCCACGTCCGCTTCGGCAAGTACCAGATCCTGCGACCGTCGGACAAGAAGGTCGAGTTCAGAGTCAATGGCGAGCTGCAGGACTATTCCATGAAGCTGGGCGAAGGGGGCGAGGCCTTTTTCGTCTTCGAGACGACGCGCTCCATCCCCGCTGAGATGCAGACGTCGCCTATTGCCTCGCCCGCCGCGAGTCCTGAGCAGAAGCCCGTGGAGATGCCTTCGGAGCGCGCCTTCGACGAGCCCGAGCCCTTCGACCTAGACAATGCTGGCGTGAGCAGGAGGAGAGGGCGCATGTCCATGTCGGTCCCCACGTCCGATAGCATACACGCCGAGGCAGAATTTGGGCGGCCAAAGTCGGGAGATTGGTCCGGCTTCCACATGCAAAGGGCCAGCACGGATGAGACGGTTCCTTCGGTCAAGGACGGCTTCGCCAAGACGTTCGAGGGGACAGAAGCACATGGCACAGGACCCGAGAGAGGGCCACTACAGATCAGCAAGGAAGATGCCACGGCTTGGAACAGGTCAACCCGCTCAGCGAGTCCACCGCCCGTGTCAGCCAGTGAAGCACTCGCCCGCGCCATCAAGCTCTCCAAGAAGCTCTTTACCTCCAACATCCCCAACAAGGTCACCGAGACGGGCGACCTCGAACTGGACATGACAGGGTACAAGAGCAGCGAGGAGGATGCCTTGCGCGCCGAAGTAATAGCCCGGCGCATCTTGTCCGATGAACTCGCAGGCGACTACGACATCGGCGCCCTCATTGGTGCCGACGAGAATGGAAACCTCTGGATCTATAGCAGTGAGGAAGCCAAAGCAGCGGCCATGGCCAAGACGAGCATGAACGTCCTCAACGAGGCCGCTCTCCAATCCACCGATGCTTTGTCAGACCCAGGCTACCAATCCGACAGTGGCCGCAGCGACGACACGGCGCAGTTCCCGACGCGACGAGACTCGGACAGCGCCTTGGGATCCTCTGCCCCACACTCGCCCAACTCTTCTACCCAGAAATCAAAAGCCAGACCCGAGACCAAAACATACGCCAAGACGCTGCGTCTCACATCCGAGCAACTGCGGGCCCTGGACCTCAAGCCCGGTGCCAACACCATGAGTTTTACAGTAAACAGGAGCAAGTGTGAGGCATACATGTTCTACTGGAAACACGACGTACCAATCGTAATCTCAGACATTGACGGTACAATAACAAAATCAGATGCCCTAGGCCACGTCTTGAACATGATAGGGAGGGATTGGACACACCAAGGTGTCGCAAAACTCTACACCGATATCGTGAATAACGGGTACAACATCTTCTACCTCACGTCCCGATCCGTCGGCCAAGCAGACACCACACGCGCGTATCTGAACGGCGTGGTACAAGATAACTACCGACTTCCCAAAGGCCCCGTCATCATGAGTCCCGACCGCACCATCGCAGCTCTACGACGCGAGATATATTTACGCAAGCCCGAAGTTTTCAAAATGGCTTGTCTTCGAGACATTATGCAATTGTTTGACAAGCCCGCGCACCAAACGCCTTTTTACGCAGGCTTTGGAAATCGCTTTACGGATGCGTTGAGTTATCGATCCGTCAACATACCTTCTACGCGCATCTTTACCATTAATTCGAATGCAGAGGTCAGTCTCGACGTGCTGTCGCTCAACAGCTACAAGACGGGGTATGCTAGTATGCGCGAGATTGTAGACCACTTTTTCCCGCCCGTCGGGCTCTTGGTGCCCGCGGGCGGCGAGGCGTATACGGATTTTAACTACTGGCGCGAGAAACCTTTGGATATTGCCGACTTTACCGATAGCGAAAGTGAAGGCGGAGAGGACGATGACGATGACGAGACGGAGGCGGCTAGTATACGCAGCGAGGACGAAATGGGCTCGGAAGTCGGAGAGGATCTCGAGGCGAGTTATATGAGTAGGGAGTCGCTCGACGAAATGGGTGAAGGGGACGATTATGGCGGAATGGAAGACTCGATTGTTGAAAGCATTGAAGGCGGCGACTACGTTGATAGGCAGTATGAAGATGAAGAGGCGGAAGATGAGTATGATGAGGATGGGGATGAGAGGACGCAGATTGAGGGTATCACGCCATCGATTGAGATGGGCTTGGATACGACGGTGGAACGCATGAGGGACTTGAATGTCAAAGAACGATCACCTACTCCACGGGCTAGGTAGTTGGCGTGATGGATCGGGGGAATAAGGATAGATTTGCCTTTTTTTTTATGTGTTGACCGCATAGCATGGCATGGGTTGGCGTTGGGTGATGATGGGATGTGTGAAGAATTTTTGAGGGTCACGAATTTAATTCTATCCATACGACTATGTTCCGTTTCCATATTGCTCACGTGGGTCTGTTGAAACTTGATGTTTACACTAAGGAAGCACTAATCTGGAGGATGGGTGGAGGAGACGAAGGGGAGGGGATGTGGGGGATGTTCTCCTGTCTTTACGCTTCATGTATAAAGTCCTTGGTCTGCAGCCAAACATCAAGACTAGTTTTGCCAGCAGCACCTCGAGACAACTGGCTTGCTCTGTTCTTGGGGACATGCAAGTACTGCGTAGTATGTTTCCCTCATCTTGACGACCTCGATGCATGATTGCGCTAGTCGTAACATTTAGCTCTCCCCAGATTCCAGCTAACTTGAGCCGCATGCGCACGCCAAGCCTTCGCGTCCGTCGCAACTTCACCGACGCGCGACCTCGAACCGCACCAACTACATCCCACCACCCACCTACCCTTCACCATGGCGTCACCCGCCGCCGAAAACATGCAAAATGGCATCTCAACGCCGCCCGCAACAGCAAATGCGCCTACACTCAGTCCACCGACCCAACAACCTCCACCCTCGCAGCCTCAATCATCGCAACAACAACAATCCCAAACAAACGGTGGTGGTACAAACCCTAATACCACGACTACTTCTACCGCAGCAGCCATGAATCCCGCTTTTCCAGGTACATCCCTCTCCGACCCGGGAACCTCGAAGCGCCCACGCGACGCCCGGCTCATCCACCTCATTCTCGCCAACATGGGCGTGCACGCCTACACGGAGCGCGTGCCCCTCCAGCTCCTCGATTTCGCCTACCGATACACGTCTTCCATCCTCTCCGACGCCATTAGCTACGAGCCCCCACTCCCCACGACATCTGGGTCCAAGAAGCGCGCTGCCGGCGGCGCAGCAGCAACAGGAGGAGCAGGAGGCGAAGGAGACTCGGGCGAGGGCGTCAGTCTAGCGGCGCTGAGGACGGCCGTGGGGGCGCGAGCGGCGGGCACGTTTCAAGCAACGCTCGGCAAAGAGTTTATGAGCGAGGTGGCGCAGGAGCGGAATCGCATTGCGTTACCTAGGGTGGAAAGGGAGTTTGGGATTAGGTTGCCGCCTGAGAGGTATTGTTTTACGGGTGTGGGGTGGGGGGTTAAAGGCGCGTGGGAGGACGAGGAGGAGGTGGGTGATGAGGGGGTCGGCGACGACGACGAGATGGATTTGGATGGCGGTGCTGGGAATGGAGGAGGAGGAGGGTTTGGAGGAGGGCCCGTTGGTGCTATTACGAATGGAGGGACAAAGGAAGAGGCCAAGGATACTGATATGGGGGGTATGGATGAAGAGGAGGAAGAAGCCGATGATGACGAGTTTGAAGAGGCTATGGGGATTAATCGGGAGAACAATCCGTAGTATGAGGCTTTTTCAGGGTAGTTAGTCAGGAGTCCACGTACTGGACGAGGCAGCAGCTAGGATGATGGAGAAAAGGGCGTTTGGGCTTAGTTGGTTCAGTGGTCCGGGAGGGGGCTTCTTTAAACCTCGAGCATTTGTAAAGGCGTTTTTGGGAGAGAGGAGTCGGAGCTCCAAAAAAGGGTTATACCAGAGCTGGCAAAGCTTTCTGTTCTGCTTGAAAATTGGGAGCGAGTATTTACAGTTTATAATACAAATATGCTTTCCGCTCATGATGAAACGTTTTACAAAGCAATTCGAGGATTGGCATTCCTCAAGCTGCATTGAAATCCATACCACTATATGCATTTTCACCATGCCAAATAGATTCACTTTCGTCTCACATCCTTTTGTTTGTTTGTTTTTTCTTTTCTCCCATGACTGGCACCACCGACCGGTCATCTCGATCCATAAACACCTCCTCTTGTAACCCCACTAGCATCAACCCTATTCTCCTCGCGTCGCCGTAACCCCGCTTCATTAACCGTCTCGGCCGCCTTTCCCACCGTACGCCCCGACTCATCCAGATTCCACCACTCTTTGTGTTTCTCCCTCGCATCTTCTAATTTCCTCTGGTGCTCTATCCTCGCCTGTTGTCACACATGAAACATTAGCTATTGCCCCTCCCGCCATCTTGTCCTTTCTCAAGATGTTGTTGTCGTAATACATACCTGTCTCCTCTCCTCGGCCAGGGCAAACCACTCCAGCCTCGCCTTGTCCAATTCATCTTGATTCTGGTATTGCAACATGCACGAGTTCATCGCGAGACGGGGTTGTCGGCACGCGTAGATCATGGTGAATGTCCGGCCCAAAGCGCATTGTGCAAACGTTTCAATCTCCTTTGCGCATTTTGCTCGTACGTTCTTGTAGTATAGGTCTTTTACTTGTTGTTCTTGTGGCGCGGATAGTGGTGTGGGATTCGTTGGCGACTTGTTCGTCCCGATTATCATGCGGTCTGTCATCTTTTTTGGGGTTGGATTGCTGGCTTGCAGCAGCAAGTAGCACTCGTTCTTGGGAGAATTGCTGTTTCTCGAGGTAGTGTGGGTGTGCGGCGGTGCGTGTGCGAAGGCTTCTGGGTATTTGGATAGCGAGTGGCGGCGTACAACGGGCGTGGTGCGTTGGGATGCGGACTCCCGGCGGTGATGGTTCGAGATTCGAGATGCGCAAGATTGAGATTATCGGGAGCGGGTATACTTGGTCACTGTCACTGCTGGTGTAGGTGGGATACGGAGCAGGCACATCGGAACTTTTGGTCACGAATCACCGACGTTCATGGGCCGAGGCACGAGTAGCTTTAGCGGAACGAACTTCACATGCATAGGTGCACATTGATTCCGCTTCTACTGAACACCACGTACACATAGAGTCACATCGTTTGTATTGTCTAGCCACTACTTCATTTCTGATCTCATACACATCTCCATACAATCCTCACGATGAAGATCGCAGACCGAACTTTCCTCATAAGCGGCGGCGTCTCAGGCCTCGGTCTCGCAACAGCACGCGCCCTGCATGCCCAAGGCGCATATGTCTCGCTCCTCGATCTTAACAGCGAAAATGGCGCCAAGATCGCTTCTGAACTAGGCTCACGCGCGCGATTCTTCGAGACCGACGTAACAGACACATCCGCCATCGCAGCAGCAGTCTCGGGCACAGTAGCCTGGGTCGCAGAAACAGGAAAGCACATCGGAGGCGTGGTAGCAGGAGCAGGAGTAGGAATGCCCGGCTTGATCATCGACAAGAAGAACGAGCCGCTCAGTATCGAGAGTATTGATTTCGTGCTCAACATCAATTTGAGAGGGACCTTGGATTTGATACGTCAAACATTACCGCACATGACGACTACGACGCCTTGCAGTCCCGATGGCTCCCGTGGCGTCATCATCATGATCGCCTCCTCCGCTGCTTTCGACGGACAGATGGGCCAGGTAGCTTATGCAGCGAGTAAAGGCGCGGTAGCCAGTCTGACCTTACCACTCGCGCGCGATTTGTCGAAATATGGTATTCGCGCTGTGACAATTGCGCCTAGTATGTTTGATAGCGCCATGACGAAGATGATGAGCGACAAGGTAAAGGCGAGTCTGGAGAAGAGCATGGAGTTTCCAAAGAGGGCGGGACAGCCCGAGGAGTTTGCGAGGTTGGTGGTGGAGTGTGTGGGAAACGAGATGTTGAACGGGACGGTTTTGAGGTTGGATGGCGCGATGAGGATGCCGGCGAGGCTGTAGTTTGTATTCGTATTCTACGAGGACACAAGGGTATATAGTAGGAGAGGGATATCTCAGCGCTTGCGCTCCCGGACCTTGAATTTGACGCCGTTTTTGTTGACGCCGCCGACTGTGTTGTTCATCTTTGCGCGCTGGAGCTCTAGTTCCTCTTCGGCGGCTACAAGTTCGCTCTCGCGCTTCTTGAGCGCCCGCAGCCTTGACATGTGCCGTTCTTGTGCCCGCTCTCTGTCCTTCCTAAACTTCCTCGCTTCTCTGCGTGCCTGTTCTTGCGCTTCCATCTGCTTCTTCGATAACGTGTTCGGCCGTTGGATAGGCTGCTCATCGTCTTCGTCGTCCGATAACTCGTCTTGAAGGTCTCCGAAAGTGGGCGACTCATTGCGAGTGGGGATATCCTCGCCGCGTCCGAACCAAGTGTCTGGTTCAAACTCGTCTTGTTCTTCCTCGTTCTCCACAAACACCCTGTGCTTGCCGTGCCTTGCCCTCTCTCCATCCCTCACAGCGCGCACCTCGCCCTGTTCCTCCATAATCAGCCTCTGCTCCACCTCCTCCCTCTCCTTGCGCGTCTGCTGCAGCATGGTGCGAATGTATCCCGCATCCTGCGTCTTCAACAGCTTCACCACCTCCATACTCAGCGCCTTGTTGCCCCGATCCGCCACCCGTTTCCCCGACTTGTCCACTTGCGACGACATCATCTTGAAGGAAAACTCATCCGGATTCCGGTCTCGAGCCTTTTCGCTCAGGACCTTGAGCTTGGCCTTCTTCTGCTTGTGGTCCGCAGCCCGCAGCTTGTAGTCTTTGCGTTTCTCGAGGAGACCCCATTTTTCGCGTTCGACGGGCTGGGCGCGCTCTTTGTGGTTGCGCCGTTGGACGGCATTCCGCATCGACGACATGTTGGGCGGTTTGGCGTGTTTGGAGTTTGCTGTGTAGATGCGTAGTGTTTCTGGAAACTTTTCGGTGGGCCGCTATTGCCAAGATTCCGACCCACTTTCCCGCTAGCTCGAGCTGTTCGCCTTGGCAGTCCCTTTCTGTTCTAACCCATCCGTGTCGCTATCTATGATTATTCATCGTGTCTGTTCTTCGACTTGTCGCCGAGTTAATTTCGAAGGCCATTCCTGAGCGACGGAATCACTGCGCCGCTAGTCTTGCATCTGGCGCTGTGATCTCCAAGCAGTTGCCGCTTTTGTTTATGAAAGAGGTCACAAGAAGTGCACCGCATCTGCATTGCCTATTCAGGTCTCGAGCGACTTGTAGCTGTACATCTGATAAGAAGCCGGTTGGTGGAAGTACCAGCGCATTCGCCCTGCTGCAATAAATTTGTTGCCACGCTTTGCATATCGTTGGCGCGTCGCTCGAGTCGCACTACATGTTTTCAAAGGCCGTCGGATCGGGTACAAACTTCTAGCCGCCATCTCTGAAGCGCTCTAGCACCTTGGAAGGGTGTTTCCGCTGACATGCATCGTTCCCAGATCAGAAACAGCCAATCATCAGTGACCTGTGCGGTCATGGTACTATACGGGAGGCGCGGAAATGAGACGCAGAGACACAAGTCTTTCCAACGTCAAGAGGTGAACCAGGTACATCCATATGTTGGGCTCAGCCAAGAGATTCTCGACAGCACACTGAGTCGTGCAGCACCAGGATACACGACCATGATGAAAAGGCAACAGTCCAGTGTTCTCAATGCAAAAGCCTATCCAGGATAATAGCGGGTCTTTGAACAGGCAAACTTCTGTCAGAGCTGTCCAAACCTAATATGGCGACATGCCTTCCAAAACGGGAGCCAAATCGCGCCCGGCACGCGCTGCATCACGACAACTATTCCCCATATCTTGAGTGAAACGCCAAGCTATTTACAAAACGATGCCCAGGAATCCTTCCAAACACCGCGGAGAATTGAGTACCGAAATGTGGCTGTGTACTAATGTACCCCAGGTCTGCCCCAATATGCAGCAACGCCAAAACCTCATCATCTGTCTAGCAGAAGCTGTACAGCACTACCAGACACTACTTTTTCCGCTACATGGCGTACGGAGGAACGTCTCCATGTAAATCCCGCGAATCATGGTAAGATCCGGACTATGTGCCGTCATGCAGCGCAGATCGAATTGAAGAGGAGGTTGTGGTGAGCATGACCATTCTAGCCACCACTAAGTCTACAACAGCCACAGTTCATCGCCCAGCACAGCATACAGCAGGCGGAAAACAATTCTCCACAATTACCACACGGCGCCTTGGCCTGTCAGACTAGAGTCCACACACCAGGGGTTTCTTCCATCCTGTAGCAATTTCCATTGCATCCTCGGAGGGCTACCTTGGTATTCAGATCCCGTTGGCGATGCAGCCATTTTCGATAAGGGGGGGTAATGGAACATTTGTATAAAGGCGATGGAGTGCCCCGAGTGTTACAGGACAACCAGCTCACTCATTCCTTCCTTCGATACTTACAAAGATCCAGGAGATCTATCAACTCTTTCAATTCATCCACACCCATCCTTGCTGAATTACTCACTACTCATCCTTCACCATGATTTCTCAAGTTGCACTCCTCTCTCTCGTCGCCAGCATGGCAGCTGCGCAGACCCTCAACATCCCCACCCGCTCCGGTAACATTGTGTCGCTCCCCCAGCCCAGCACCATCACTGGCAAGGTCGACTTTGCGAACAAGGAGTTTGACCGTGGCCAGCCATGTGACTCTGACGAGGACACTGGCAGCAGCAATGCCGTCTTCATTCTCGAGGACGGCGCTTCCATCTCCAACGTCATCATCGGTGCTGATGCGCTCGAGGGTGTTCACTGCATGGGTTCTTGCACCCTGACCAACGTCTGGTTCCGTGACGTTTGCGAGGACGCCGTCTCCGTCCTTGGCACTGGTGATGCCCTGATCGTTGGAGGTGGTGCTCAAGAAGCCAAGGACAAGGTCATCCAGCACAAGTAAGTATCAGTCAAGTCCCTACAGACAACCCCGTCTAACTTGTACCTAGCGGCCGGGGTACCGTCACCATCAAAGACTACACCATTGTCAACGCAGGCAAACTCTACCGCTCCTGCGGCGACTGCACCGACAACTCCAAGAAGTCGCCCCGCAAAGTCATCGTCGAGAACGTCCGCGCCTTTGGCGTAACCTCTGACCTCATCGGCATCAACTCAAACTTTGGCGACACAGCCACCATCTCCGGCTCCTGTGGAACCACAAAGGCCGTCTGCCGCGAGTACAAGGGCGTTGACAAGGGCAACGGTAGCAGCCAGAAGCTCGACACAAACGCTAGCTGCATGGGTGCGCAGGGCAAGCTCGCGAAGCTGCCAACCTGCGGTGCGGACGTCGGTTCTGGCGCCCCCACTACCACTGCTAAGCCTACCTCTACCAAGAAGGTTACTTCGACTCTTGTCACCAAGACCAAGACTTCATCTGCGAAGGCCACTACGACAAAGTAAGCTCATTCATCCTGAATTTCCCAACCCCCCAGAAACGGCCTTCGGACCACCAATACCACCCCCCGCGAGGTCGCAAACGATTAACCTGGTTCTTTGTTTTTTAGAGATGTCGAAACCGATGAAGGTAGCAGCAGCGGTAGCGTTCAGCTGTACGGACAATGTGGTGGACAGGGATACTCTGGTCCCACTACTTGCGCCTCCGGCAAGTGTGTCAAGAGCAACGAGTGGTACTCGCAGTGCCAGTAGATGTGGTGTGTATCCAACATGCGCACATACTTCTATTGGTTTTGGCGTGGTAAAAAAAATTGTTTGGAAATATGGTTGGGTCTGCGACTGAGTGATTCTTCTTCTGTGGATATTTTATCTTCTTTCTTTTTATGTATATATCTTTTCCATACTATACCAGGCTGTTGGTCTGTGATCAATGCTATTGGTGTTTTTCAATTGCTTTGATCTTCAATTCGAGAGTGGTTGGATCGAGTTTGGTCGTGTCGCGTGTATACTGTCTGCTCGTAAAGAACAATTACGATTAAGCAGGCGCAACACAAGCTGATTTTACTACGGTGCCTTGTATGCTAGAGCCATGGCAGAGAAGTCCCCTGCTGTCAGCTAACTATATAGAGCCATTGTAGTTTGGGTGCAGGTCCCGGTAAAGTGGACCCTTGTTAAGCAAGTGCGAACAAAGCTAGAAAAGCAAAATAGAACGACAACTGGACTTCTTTACTTCTATATAGACATGATCTCGTGTTCATCCTCCACTTATTCTTCTCTGCATGTACTCCTCATCCTTATGCATTATTATACACTCATTTTGACACAAACTCGACATCTTCAATCATCCAGCAATGGAAACACGTTTACGATGAAAAGAATCAATTCCCAAATCAAGATACGGACTGTGCTTTTGATTCTATACCAATATCAACGAATGTAAATGCATATACAAACCGCTAGCCTCCCATAAAGAAAAAAAATCATCTGATGTCCTTGAGACTAGACATCACAGCCGCCCATCAACGTTTCCATATTCAGCAAGCTCCACCTCATTCAAATGACTCCTTATCCTCACACTACTCCTCGCACTATCTGGCGAGACCAAACTCTGACGCATAAGCACTGCTTTTCTTGAATCCATCATGGCATTCGCCGAGGCAGGCTTGAAGACTCGATTGCTTTCATGCCCGTAATACGAGTATCGAGCGGGCCGCTTTCCTCTCGCAGAAGGTGACACCGCCCTCATATTGTTGGTGCCCGAGTAGGATCTTGTCGGACGAGTGATTGCGGGTATTGGCCAGTCGTCGGTATCAGAGTTTTCGTACTTGACCGAAGATTCAGGCGACTCGTGACGCACATTCCATTCTTCGTGTTCCCAGATGGGGTCGGAGTAGGTTGACGAAGAGCCTGATGGCTCGTCAATGTACACCGAGGAGAACGACGTTGTTGCTGATGTCCGCCTCGGCGCATAGGGGCGCGGGTGCATCATCTTCTCCATTTGCGGGTCGAACATGTGACTTGATGCAGTGTCGCGCTGCTGTTGCTGCCGAGGTAGATTACGACGAAGTGATAACATGCGCGCCGGGTTTCTTGGTGGTGGTGTCCGCTTCTCTAGATCAAGCATTTCGTAGCAGGCCTTACCAATCCAGAGCATTTGCTCGTGCTCGCGCAGGTAACGCTCTCCACCAAAAGACTTCTGGACGATATCGCGCGCCATCATTCCTAGTTTCCGTCGATGTTCAGACTTCTCGTACATACGGCGCGTGATGATTTCTACGTCCTCGGGCGTTGGTTTGTGAGGCAAGATTGGCGCCGCTGTTCCAGGACCATCGCCAGCGTACTGTGCCCACTCGTCCAGCATGGCCAGCAAGTTAATCTGTGCGCGTGCCATACCGTATGCATCGTTGGGTGCCACAACTTCACTATATCGTTTGCCATCATCAGGATCAGTGAGCACGCGTAGCGATGCACCAACATCAGTGCAGACAACTGGTGCTCCAGTCAGTGCCGCTTCTCCAAGTGCAAGCGGCAACCCTTCCGAGACGGAGGAGTTGAGGAACAGCCAAGTGTTCGCGAGGACCATTGCCGGGTCTGCCGTACCGCGCAGTGCCACGTTCTGTCCGAGACCTTTGCAAGCCAAGATTTCTTGGCATTCAGAGGAGTAGACAGGCGATTTGTTGAGAGTTCCATAGATATCGAGTTTGTAGTCCTTGAAACCCCACTCATTGGTGATGATGTCCGCCGCAAGTAGAGCGGTCTTGATATCTTTGGCAAACCAAACGTGAGAGAGCATAGTCACGGTCGGCGTCTTCGTTTTGATCTCAGTTACCGGGGAGAACTTCGTCATGTCGGTGATACCATTGACGATGGGATCGACCTTTCGGCGGAATACGTTGCGATGTGTAAGTTGACCCTTTGCGCTGCCGATCTCCACTTCCCAGCCGGGATTGAAGAAGTCTTGTAAATGGCGTTAGCATTGATGTTTGTAGGACCTTAAAAGATGTACATACCTGCGCAGGGAAGGATCTGGTCAGCATGATGTAGGATAAGGCAAGACGTCAGCTTCATCAGACCCAACAGCGAGTTTCGGATGAACGGCGGCAAAGTGCACATCGCGGACGAGAGATACAGGTTGGTCTCGCGCCAAGAGATTGCATGATCCCAGATCTGGAGTGTGCAGTTTCGCTTGAGTTTGCAGACGATTCCATATGAGGCTGAGACGCTATGATGCGAGGCTTGGAACACATGCGGAATCTTCTCGGGGATGGGGATGGAGAATATGAATAGATCTATGAAAGTTAGTTTAGTCACCATCCAGGGAGGGTTCTGACTCACATCGAAACCACAGCTCTAACGCCGTATCGAAATGTCCAAGCGTTGGAAGTTCTGTACGGAACCATTCTGAAGGCGACTGTGCGTTTGGCATATCATCAGCAAGCCACAGGTTTCGCCAAGCATCTTTGACTATGTCGCTCGTCCACACTTCTTTCCAGTGACGCGAGTCTTGGAAGTAAGTATTCAAGTTGACCAAAGCACGCGTGGCTTGCTTGACATCTGCTGATGTCATTGTTGTAGCACGTGCGCCGCGGACGAGGGCGGTCAAGGTAGGAATGAAGTTCGTTTCGATATCCGATATCGTAGCTGCTTTGACCAAATGATCGACCTCACTATCTAGCTTGTTGGTAAACATTCCGTGGTTTGGATGCATAAAATCCAGTCCCCATAACGGGATGACCTTTAGCGACTCGACGTTCTCTTCGGTCTGGTGCTTTGGCAAACCAAAGTCATTGGCTGATTCAACCACCATGTGCCATTTGATCGTGCGCAAGTTGTTGATGAGATCTCGCCGACATGCCGAGACACCGCCACCTTCATTTGGCCATGTACCAGTATCGACAGCGATGACATGCAGGTTTCGGTCAGTATCACGCTGTAATGCTTTAGTTCTAGTGAAAATGACGGCATCTCCACCCTGACCAAAACTGAACAAGTCGCTCATTCGTATGGCAAGAAGCGTCCATGCGCTAATGTCGCTTGTCAGATCTGAACTGGCCATGATGGCGTCTGCATGCAAGGCCAGATAGTCTTCAGCCTTTACGAGACTACCGCGATCTCTTCGTCTCCAGTATGGCCGCAGGAGAGCCTCTCTTCGAATCAGCTCCTCGTCAACCCAACGAATGACAACACCGTCCAGATCATTCCGCTTTTTCCAAGCTTTCCAGAGTTGTGATCGAGCTCTAGATGTGGAGATCTCTTGTTGTTTGATGTTTGTTCGAAGCAGTCGGCTTAAAAAGGTTGCAGTTGGAGACTTGAATGCAAGCAAAGGGTTTTCATCGGCAAATGTACACCGGGTTGGCTTCTTCAGTACGCCGAGCCAATCGTAACGTATCATATCTGGGGTATCGACTGGCACACCATTAAGCTTAGTGGTGATGGTGGGATGGAACTTGTGATCATAAAGCCATGAACATTCGTACACGTCGGCTCCCTGAACAAAAGTTGCTTCATGGACGCGAGGAGTGGGTATCCAGCGCTCCATCTTCTCGACATGGCGAACAGGAGGTGCACACCAGCTGACGTTAGCTGACATGTGTGGAAGCACGAACTCGGCGCGAAGAAGTTCGTCATCATACTTGGCGTTCTTTCGATAATGGTATTTGAAGCGGACCAGGTTTTCATGGCTGATATAGCTTCCGGACTCGATGTGGCCCTTGCGGTTGTATGTGACCTTGGCGCCTTCGTTCTGGCCACTGCGGCAGATTCTGCTCAACGGTACCCTGCTTGTCTTGACCTTCGAGATCTTCCTCTTACGCTGCGGCTGCTTCGATGCATACTCGTACACGAACTCGTCAGCCACCGTACCATTCTTGTACTCCTCGCGTAATGTGATGCGCATCTCTTCGTCGTAGTATGTAACTCGGAGATGACCCCATGTTGGTTCCAGCTCCAGATCACCCTGATAGAACATCAATTTGACTCCACCGTCTGCGACAGGGTGAATGAAGGCTGTCTCTGTATCTCCGTAGCTTCGGACGACCAATCGGTTTTTCTTTTGGATGATCAAACTCCCTTTTACAGTGCCGGCAAGACCTGCAATATCCTTGCGCCGATGGTACAAAAAGTAAGGTAAAGCGATTGACATCGCAGCCCGACTGTAGATCCATAATCCCGTCAGAACGAAAGTAGCGAGTTTGGCTATCGGACGCGGTGTACGTAACAAGGCCCCGTTCAGTTCACGCTGATATTCAGGATCGGCCATGCACGCGAGGAAGAAGAATTTGACCCACGTTCCGGCAGAATGGTAGACGTAAGCAATGGGCAAACGCACATACTCGGTGAATATGCCAAGAATCGAGACTGCTGAGCGATTGAGGACCGGATGATACGCTTCCTGAATGTCTGCGGTCATTTGACGATACTCTTTCTTGGTGAGAGCCTGATCGCCTCGGTTTTTGAAGAAGTTGTGCTTGATAATTGCTAGGTACGCGCCAAGATCATATCGTGCGATGCACGACAGGATTGTACATGAGCTTTCCGCTGGAACATTGGCATTGATCCATGCCATCTCCGTGTTTGTATAGGGTGCTCGGGTACCGACGCATCGTCGGAGGAAGAGTCGACGAATCTGTAATGGAAGCTCGTCCCATTGGGTATCGCAATCGAACCCCATGCATAGATTTCGCAACAGGTCTTTCTTGAATGCGATTTCAAAGTCTAAAGCCTTAGGCCCTACACTCAGCTCCGGCATTGACCGCTTGCTACATTCTGATATGGCGTGAAAGCCGCAATCGCTCTCTCGGCAAGCAAGCATAGATTCTGTGAGCTGGGCTTGAGAGTGCGGCATACCGAACATGGTCTCCATACAAGCGTGTAGCAGTGTCTCGGCGATGATTGCACAGTTACTGCTCACATTTGTCTGCCTGGAGCCTTTTGCGTCCGAAGCTATATAGAGCGTCAGACGTCCGCCTGCATATTGCGAAATTGCCCGAAGGTCGGTATCCACTTCAGCCACAGCCTGCATCGGAACAATGAAGATTTTGATCTTGTCGCTCTTCCAAGCCAAGATGATACGCTGTACCAGAAAGGGCATTGTCGGAAATGCTTGCATGGCAAGCCTGGAGAGGTTTTCATGGGTACACGATAGTAGTGTAGCGCAGATCTGGTCGCCAGGTTGGCCTGTGGCATTTACGCGGAACCTGTTTTCCTTTGGGGCGGCTCGCAGCTTGCTGCAATAGGCGTGAAGCTCGCTTTGACTGAATTCAGCATCGCTGCCAGTGCCGTTGTAGGCATAGTACTTATCATCAATGGTAGATTGATCTTCGCCTTGAGATACGACACAGCTCGAGCTAGACATTTCGGTCGAGCCCAGCGACTGCTTGCTCTGCTCATGCTTCAGTAGGAACCTAGATATCCAAATGGGCGCGTGGAGCAGCTCAGGCATGCCTAGCTTGGCAGTTCCAAAAGAGAGAAAGGCTGCCATCCAGGTAGATACACCAAGAGCAATAACCCTGTTATACATAAAACCCGGCAACAGTGTGATGAGAATGTTACCGGTCACGAAACCGAGAACAACAGCTGCTAGGAGTGGCATCAGTGCGTGTGGACCTGAAAAGATCTTGTTGTACTGGTAGAGGAGTAGTCCACTGTACGCGCCAATGTAGCTCAGAAATATTATGAGGCCATCTGCTGAGCCGTTGAAGATCCAGACTAGAGCAGCGCATAGCGCCAGTGCCCAAACATGAACCCCAATGAACCGGCATAAAGTGTTGAGATATAGATGTCGCCTGAATTTCGTATCGTTGGCTTTCGCCTGTTTGATCTCGTGCGCGTCCTTGATCGAGACTGGACACATTTGCTCTGACATTGTGTGGAGGTGTTGGGCTTTGTAATCCAGTAGCACTGCGCCAATGAGGTAATACGCCAGGCTAAAACCGACTGATAAACGAAGTGTCTTGTCGTCTAGGGACCCTAGTAATCCCGCGAATGAGCCGCCAGGTTGTTGGGTGCCGCGTATAATGTCGAGCCAGCGATCCATCAGTGCCACGAGGAAGTAGAGAACACCACAGTAGATCTCATCTCCAGCAGTCCGCCAATGTATAAAGGAATTATGAAGTCGGATACCTTTTTGCGACTGCTGCATGCTTTCGAGAGCGACCTGCGTTTCGAGATTCCAAGTCGAACTATACGGGATTGGTCGCTTGGTGTCGGTGATACGCGCGTACCAGTCCAGTAAGAAAAGCGTTGAATCCCAACAGTTTGCAAGTTGTCTGACAAAGACATCCTGCGTAGGCTTTTGCCAGATGGTTCGTCCCTTCTCCTTCATGACGGCGTCGTGCAAGGCTGTACGGCAAAGTCCTAAGATTGCTGGCTCACTCATACCATGGAACATGTCTTTATTGCTGGCAGTTATCTCCGAGGATGGTTTGTCAGAGTCGGGGACATTTGACGCAGTACTAGGTCCTTTATTGGATCGATCTACTGCCACCGGATTAGCTTCTGGGATTGAGGCATCGCCTGTGTACATACCACCAGAATGTATACCACTTGTGGAACGCTGCTCCTTGACCAACCGCTCAATGTACCAAGCCTTGATGTCAGCGTCGTTGAGTGTCTTGATGTTGTGATACCAAGTCACCCATTGAGTCGCTACGTGACGGGTACCAAGAACCAGTAAACTGACAAATATGTACAAGACCCCAGGATAAATGTAGATGTCGTAGTGAGGAATAAAGATAGTCAACAACGGAGAGACTGTCAGGGTCGGGACTACCATGATGATGACTTTGCGACCATTTAAGAAGCTGGACCCTGGAACCTGATAAGTGGAGAGAACAGCAAGTACCGTTAAATACGTCGTAAGTCCAAAAAGGTAAAAGACAAACACCGCTCCAAGCCCTGGGCCTACGGCAGCTGAGATGACAATGAAGCCGAGAAGACAACCAGCAAGAGTGAATGCGAGACCACCGACTAAACGAGTCAGCACGAACATGTTGGCGGCTGAGAATGCCATGGAGATGAGGTAGTAGGTGCCTCCAATTGAGATCCAGGTTCCAATGGCGCCAGAGAGAAGCAATGAACACATGAGCGCCAGCGTAGCATAATATCGCTGCTCCTCTTCCATGCGTATACTGAGATACAGCCCATGACCAGTAGTTGATAATAGAACGATGTCTGTGGCTGTTAGCAAAAGATTCAAGCGGCCACAGCGTCAAATGCTCACCAACGAGTGCCGGGATTGCGAAGACACTAAGGAAAGTGAAGCGACGGTAAGCCGGCATTACGGAAGGCTTCTGTTCTGGGTCGATGTCAGTTTGAGCTGCGGCGTAGGCAGAAGCAAACGACGGCGCATTGAAAAGCCACATAGGGGGCTGATGTTCTTCCTGGTTGTAGTAATTCCTGTGCTTCTGTGACAGCATTATACCGATGTCGCTGGGCTTGATGTCAAAGTACGCCTCGCATCTTGACCCCAACGCAAACAGCTCTGCAAATGCTGCACTCTGATCTGAGTACTGGTTAAAGAGTGGGTTTCGGTCCGATACCTCAATGTATAATTCTTCGAATCCAGCCTTCCTTGCGGCGCAAAAGATGCAGAAAAGTACGAAGTCAGCAGCTGAATCAAGATCTCCCCTGCTGGTAATGTTGACTATGGCAGAAGTAATGATGTCTAGCTTCTCATAGTCTCGCGACCACAGTATGCTGTCAAGCACGTCCGCGACTTCCCTGAAAAGATACAGGGCGTCGCGTCTATCAAGGGTGGGAAGCCGAGACAGCCGGTACCATTTGAGTTTTGCGTTGACTACTTGTTCGTCCGTGATGTCGCCGCTGATGTAGTCCATGTTGCTGAGCTTCTTCAATTGGTGGTACGTAGGTACATCGATCAGCAACTCTTCACAACGTTCGCGGATGGCTGAAAGCAAAGAGCAATCCTGATCCCATTCTGAGTAATGCAAGTGCTGCAAGTATAGAAGCAGATCCGAAGAAGAGAGCAGATCCAGGTCTTGCTGTAGCCTTTCGGGTAGTCGTTCTGGTGAAAAAGACCCGGCAGTGAACTCCGTCAGGCCATATTCTGCAAGGAAGCACTGGTATCTGGAAAAACCCAGTTTGCTTAGGTGTGTATGGAGCAAAACCGCGCCAATATCTTGGACGGACTTGGACACATATATGATGACGGATTGAGTCCTCGGCTCCACTTCCCAGACTGCCCAGAACTGAGCACCACTCGGTGTATGGAACCCAGAATCAAGCGCAGAATATACCTGTAGCTGATAGATGTCCTCTATATCGTCATTGGTGCGAGCCAGTGCCTCTACGAGTTGTGAGATGGTATTCCTTGACGTTGGCAGGAATTCCAAAAAGTGGCTACTGCTGTGACAATAGCCATGAAGGATTTCTGCGATAGGATGCAGTTGTGCAGCAGAGAGTCGATTGAGCAGTTTCAGATCCCGCAGACGTCGCTGTGAGTCGAGAACCCGAGAGAAGTCATCTCGTGATGCATCTAATCCAATTGGAAAGCATCCCAATGACTCGTATGGTGATCCGTTGTAGGAGCAAGATAGTGGGTTACTGACATGCTTCTCCCTCGCGATTGTCCATTCCATTCCTGACGACGTTGGCGACGTTGATGTTTGCGAGAGCAATACTCCGTTCTCGTCAATCTCAGGGTAGTGTATGATGTCTGTGGATATGCTGGAGATGTCATCATCGTCCGACTCTGCTCCGTCGAGCCCGGCGAGCGTATCGGCGAGGAAGGGAAAGATCTTCTGCAATGGGAGATAATCGTCGATGATGCTCGAAAAACCAGGAGACAGCTATAGAAATTCAACGGATGGTTCACAAGGCATAGAGAGTGAGACTTACTGCTCGTGCGGTCCGATATTTTTCGTGAACGTCCATCACTTTCCGTTGTTTCAGCCACTGGAAAGCTGCCAAAGGCTCTTGACAATGAACGATGGCGTCCATAGCGGTTAGAGCTCGTCGACGTGGGAAATAAGGGATGGCACCATGGTAGTTGCACCACATATGCGCTCTTCTAACAACGGCGTGTGAGAGACTGGCATCGTCTTCGATTGTATCCCACATCATTGTCAGGAACGGCCGTTGGCAGGCCTGGGATACAAAGGATTTTGTTGTTGTCTTCATCTTGTCCATGTCGAAGAAATCTCGACGCTCTCCATTCAACATAATCGTCCCGTTACGAACAACGAAGCCAGCGAATAATCCGACATCCAGCTTCTCGATGCTATCCAGGAATTCTGGAGCTTCCACTTCCAAGTAGACGTCTAGACCATAAGCAATGAGGAGCTTGGTCAAACCGTTGAGTAAAGGCACCGCAATGCGCTCTCGCCATCCAGAAACAAGGACACCAGTGAAGTATCTCTGTTGGTCCGGCTGTCGTAGAGTCCGCTGGATATTCCACGAAAGGACGTATACTGCTCGCGCCATGTCCAGCTCACTAGTCGTCGCAAACGTGATGATCTGTGCCAGGTCAAGCCGCGCGATGATGTAAGGTCCCATAGGAACAATATCATCACCAACAGCATCCAAGACCCCGGGTTCGCAATAATCCAGCACTACGACGTCCCATTGAGACAGTATCCGCGTTTCCTCTTGTGTGATTGGGGTGTTCAGAAGGCCCAGGTATACGCCAAAGGACGAAGGTTTTCTGGGAAGAGTATGGGTTTTGCGGACGACACTCGGACTGTGCGATAGCAGATGGATTCGTTCTTGTACCGATCGCGGTAGACCAAGCTCGTTGCTATTCCCCTGAGAATCTTGTAAGCTTAAAACCGGGTGGCACATATCCAGATCATACCTTCAACAACGTCCGAACGGAACGATAAGAATACCAAAGGAACGCAACAACTCCCACAAGCCCACTGGCACTGATGATAGCAACAAGCGCCCATTGCCACCACTCCTGAAAGATTGAACCAGTGTCAAAGGCTTGAATGCCGAGAATATCTGGCGCAGGCATAGTTCCTGTATGATTCCACTGTGGGTAGATCCGATACCCTGGATGGTAGCTCCACGCTCTACAGAGTGCAGCAACAGCTCCTTTTCTGGACAGAGACAAGCTACTGAGCGATAAACAGAGGTTTCGTATCCTGATCCATAACAAGGGCCGTCAAAGTAGGGTGGATGTGATATTCTAGCAAGACAATCAGCGACTAGGTAAAGATATCATTAACGTGCACATGAGCCATCTCATCTGCTATGAAAAGCCAGTTTTAAGAAACAGAGAATTACAGCACATCCTATGTTCATACAGTCATGTGTTAGCAGTTGATCTGCGAATCGCGTTAGCATACATGGTTGGTGGTTAGCCGGTGCAAAATATCCACCGCTGCAAGACCAGCGGCAGTGGAGGAGCGCAGCCATCCTTCCAGAATTCTGCAATACGGCTCTTGGCCGCCACGAATGGCATTGGAGCGGCAGTCATCAGTCAGTGACTTGCAGCGCGAAGCCTTCTGACCGGGCATTGGCAAAAGCGATGACAGGGAATGCTGACAACGTCTAGGGGTCAGTGGCCATCTATCCCGAACAGCGAAGCGTGACTGTATTAAGACTAGGTCAAAGAAGATTTAGATCTCAACGATGAGGCGATGTCAGCGAAGGAGGGTGTCGTGATGACGCGAAAAGAGTGGTGGACGAGGGAAGACGTGACGAGGCTGGAATTCCGGGGTTCGGCAGCAAATGTCCGTGCATGCCCATCATCGCTCTTTCAATCACGTTCATCCGGCATAGCTTTTAGCCTAACTTCTCCACACTGCGACTTTAATATCAAACTTCATCTATTACGGCATCTCTGTCGGTCTTGTCTCCGAGGCACATGCAATGTAATGCACCTGCCGCAGATGAAGGCTGGGTCAGTAATTGCTTGCGCAATATGGCCAGGTTGCGGGCAGACGCGTGCTTGCATGGAGCCAGGCTAGAAGACACCTGGCGCACCGCCCACAATATCCCTACACACACGCATGTTTTTACGGCCCTAAAAAAAGGAATTACTGCCATGGACCCCAGCCGTGCACACCTCGAGCATACAGTGAATCTGTCCTTCGGCTCTACTCGAGACGGAAACGACCAGTGGCCTGGTAGGTAAAAGGTGCGGTCAAATCACGAGTCCTGTAATACTCTGAGATCGTTGCAATACATTGCTCTCACATGGCAAAAGTCATAACGCTACCGCTTCTCAAGTACAAGGACTAGCCAAGACCCTTGCTGACTATATGGCTATAAGGGCATGTTACGTATGCGAAGTAGTCCAGGAGGACGGCAATAACTATTCGAAGCCTCTGATCGAGCTATGCGCCGCGTCATGTTCTGCATCAAGTTGAGCTATAGGTAGAACTCCGACTGCTGAGGCTAAGAAGGGAGAAAATCAATAGTCCCTTGATCGTTTACTGCTTCTGGACCAATGTCCTCCCAGTGGCGTACGAGATGATATCTGCCGAGACTTCTTTATTAAGCCGTCCAGGTTCCTCACAAAAAAGTCTCGTCAGCACGTTGTTCACTTCGCGTTTCACGATGGCGTCTTCCGGTCTATCGTCACTGCGAGCATGCGCACTCACATGCCTCTGTCTCTTCTTGCAGCATGTCTCGGCGTACGTGGGAAGTGCCACGGTATCTAGCACGATCCTGGTCATTGCACGCGACTCGACATCGGCCATCAATGGCGCTACGCTTGGCCTCCAGGGTTACGGCATTCCTTATGAGATCGTCACTGTTCCCCAGGCTGGTATCACGAATCTTCCCCTACTCAATTCCTCGGCTACACATGGCAACTATGGTGGCATTGTCACCATAAGCGAAGTGGGCTACAACTATGGAGACCAATATTACAGCGCGCTTACTAGAAGACAATGGAATGATCTGTATGCATATCAGACCAACTTCGGTGTGCGAATGGTCCGTCTCGATGTATTCCCCACTGCCGACTTTGGGGTCGTCAGCAACGGTGGTAATTTGAACGATGAGCCGGTATCCTTCACAAACAACACCGGATTTACCACGGCCAACTTGAAGCCGTAAGTCTTGAAGCTCGCGACATTCGGATCAATACTGACTTCAACCACAGCAATGTAGACGTGAGTATCGCGAACATTTACCACACCCCTGCGACAATTGTAAATTCTTCAATGGCATGGGAATTTGCCAAGTTCTCGGGCAGTGGAACAGCTGCAGTCGTCAACCAGATAGGTCCTCGTCAACAGATGGTATGGTTTTTACCTTTTGCCCTAGATTGGGCACCCTCGAGTAACATCCTGCAACACGCATGGATTACCTGGATTACAAGAGGCCTCTTCGTTGGCTTCAGGAGAATCTACTTTAGCACACAAGTAGATGACATGTTCCTGGAGACGCCTATGTACCGACCTGCAGGCGTTAACTATCGTGCCAAGCCCGACGACCTTTCGATGCATGTCACTTGGCAGGCCGAACTGAATGCGAAGATGCCTACAGGGTCTGAGTTCTTCATAGAGATCGGACACAACGGTAATGGCGATATAGAGGCCTCTACGGATACGACTGAGGGCGCGAGGCTTTGTAATCCTGCATACGCGATTGAATACCCTGATCAACCCGACGGTAGCCCGGAATACACAAAGCCTCCTGGTACAGGCACCAACATCTGGCCTGCTACACCTTCCCAGTACACATGGAGCCTCGAGTGTGCGGAGATAGATGAACTAGAAAACTGGTTCGCCGACGAGGGGCAACGCGACGCCTTTGCGCACATTTCGCATACATTGTAAGCCTTTCGTATGTCCAGTCTCTGCACCACTGACTCGAAACCAGTTCGCACGCCGACCTGACCAACGCGACGTACTCCGATACATCGAAAGAGATCACGTTCAACCAAGCCTGGCTGAAACAGGTCGGCCTTGATGCTGCTCAACGCTGGAGCGGAAAGGGTATCATCCCGCCTGCTATCACTGGTCTACACAACGCAGATGCCATCAAGGGATGGATGGACAACGGGATCGTCAACGTGGTAGGAGACAATACGCGTCCAGTCCTTCGCAATCAGCAGAACACTTTCTGGCCATTGACTACCAACGTTGAGAACAATGGTTATGCAGGACTCAACGTCATGCCACGCTGGGCTACACTTATCTATTACAACTGCGATCTCCCGGCTTGTACATTGCAAGAATGGATCGATACATCAGCAGGCAAGGGAACATTCGACGATCTAATGAATAACTCTCGAGACACCGCGATACGCAATCTTTTCGGGTTGCATTGGGACCCGTAAGCGAATCATATTTGCCGCATCACAGAGTTGTACTGATTTGCAATCTAGGTACATGTTCCATCAGGCCAATATGCGCGTCAACGACGTTCCATCTACCACCGTGAATGGAAAAAGCGGGCAGTATTCGCTACTCATGACGTGGATCGAGGTCATCTCAGCAGAGATGATGCGCCTGTATGTAGATCTTGCTTCATGGGAAGATCTACCGACTAACGCACTATAGAACTACCTGGCCTCTCAAGACACTCAAACATGATGATCTCGCGCAGCAATTCATCAACAGACAAACTCGCGACCTATGCCGACCAAGCTTGACATGGACAGCATCTGCAAACGGCGCCAGTATCGAATCTGTTAATGTATATACAGCTGGAGGCAACAAGTGCGGAACGACGATACCCATCACTTTTCCAGGGGCTGTGACAAGTACGACTGGTGCAACCAAAGAGCAGCTTGGAAGCGATCCTCTTACATTGTGGGTGTCGATGAGTGGCGCAAGCAGGCAGTACAAGTTCTCAAAGCCCATTCCGCTGTAAAACTAAGCGCATGTAGTGGAAAACGCGGTACAAACGGCTGTCGCATTTTTCATCTTCAATGTACATGTTTTGGCAATAGCCAACCCCGTCTCAAAATCCTTACTGCCTTCTTGTTCGCTTTTACCCTGTATATGCGCTCACTACTGAGAGCCTGTGGAATTTAGGCGGCCATTACCGACCCCTGATCCAACCCCACACCTGCATAGCCACTTCGCCAATATGGATGAATAAGGCAACCAAGTTGGCGGGGTGGCAGCGCCTCAGCTTGATACATGTGCTTATACTAATTTCCATATCGTCAAAGCCACAGTGTGACGTTATTCCCTAGTGTTTACGCTTAAGTTCTCTGCTACTCTGATCCTGCTTCCTGGACATCATTTAAACAGCATCTGTTGGTGATCGCTCGCTCTCTGTTGCACGATCTTCCAGCCAAGAGCATGTTCCTGCAACACGCCACACCCGCAATATCACTGCATGAAAGCTACACCATATGCAGTTACTGTCCGTCTTACATATAACAGTTTTATATTAACTACATATGCAGCGCTGCGCGCTGCGCTGCGCCGCATGCGACGCGTCCTTTCATGAGATTTCGAGACTATTGAATTTTCGATAGGTCTGGAGGCTGTTGCGTATGAATTATGGTCGTATTGAAGTTTGAAGATAAGCCGTGCTCAGATATACAGGAATTTTCTCAAAGGAATCTTCGCATCTAAGGTGTGTCTAGCAGCAGCTCAGCCGACGGGGCGTACTGGCAAACCTCGACCTTTTCTTTCTAGCGACCAACAACACAAGCACATAATGGATGCGAAACCCAAACCGAGGCAGCCATGGTCTTTGCGGCGCAAGATTCTTCTCGCAGTTCTCATCGTAGTCTTGATACTCGCGCTCGGCTTGGGATTAGGTCTCGGTCTTACCTTGGGACAGGGCGACGACAACAACGACGACAACTCCTCTCCACCAACACCTCTGCCAACACCAAACACCACACTACCATGGGTACCATCCTTATCGGATTCTTGGCAAATCATCCTTTCTCACCCGCCCATCCTCTCTTCCTCTGAGACCAGCACAACCCCCAACGTCAGCATCTTCGACATCGACCTCTTCGACACGCCGATCGAGACAATTCAACAACTGCATGCTATGGACAAGAGAGTGATCTGTTACTTCAGCGCAGGA